GAGTTATTACATTTCTTTTGCTTATTATCTTTCATATTACTACATGTAAACAGTAGTGTTAGCTACTTTGAAGCACGTATAGCCTATATTTAGTAGTCACGTTCACAGCAAAAACTTCCATTATCCTCTTAGAATTCAAATATTTAATGGTTTCGTTCATCAAGGCATATTTAAGTAAATTTTACATTTAAGGATATTTGTGTAACTGTAGCATATGATTATGCTTGAAGAAAATAAATAAATAAATAATAAAAAAAAAAGAGTAAAATGTACTGATACATTTTCCCTTATGGAAATAAACAATGGTTTTACTATAGTAAAAGTGCAGTAACCATGGATTGATTGTCATTTTTTTTAACCCACAGTTTAACTACAAATGTATGGTTAAAACGTTAGTGTAATAAAATCATGGTTAATTTTAATGTGTTTTCCGATAAACCTAAAACACAAAGCAGTGCAAAATTCAAAATACATCATATTGAATTTACATACACTGTCCCTAATTTTTATAATTAATTAAAATGTATTTATTTACTTAATTTGGAGTGTAGAGAAAAGCCTTACAAACTGTATCCATTATATAAAATTGCAATGTTAAAGTTAAATAGCAACGTTCCCTTAACTAGATCCAACAAAAATCCCATATATATACTAGGCTATTTAATAATAGTTCAAATTTAAAACGGGCAATATTGTGCTGAATGTAGAACTTGACGACAACAACAATAATAACGAAGTACAAAATTAAAAAAAATATATATACTAGAAGCTGGGTGTGCTCCTCAAGAGGACTATGGTATTGTACATTTATTAAAGTCTTATATATTTTATATTTGCAGTTTTTCAAAGTACAACTGTTTACATGTAGTAGAAAGGTAAGCAAAAGAAATGTAATAACTTAATACAGATCTTCATTATGTTATGTGCAGGAAAAAAACACGAACTTCTGCGGAGAGTAATGTTTGCATAGTAGGTGGTGGTAATACACCTTAACGTTGGATGCCACCCGCCATAAAACATGAAGAAGAAGAGTAATGTTCGCGCTGCACTGTTGTAACTGATCAGCGCTGCGCTGTCAGTTCGGTGGCGCTAGTAAACACGTCCTCTCTGCGCTGTCGAGTCGGTCATGCAGCTCGGTCCATTGAGCCGCGCCGATGACAGGTCAGCGCGGCGCGAACACTTCAATACCGCGCTGTTTCGTCCCACATTTGGGTTGTTTGGCTTCCCATACTATTCAGTGTCTGTGCGGAGTGTGAAAGCTGAACTGTAGTGCTCACTGCAGGACAGATGGAGGCGCCGGTGCGCTCACTTGCTCTTAAAATACTCTGCCATTTTTGCTCACACAGATAAGAGTAATACATCTTTCAAATCTGTAAAGATTCCACTTTTATTTATGGAAGCCCGTTTCCGCCACTAAATAAAAAAATATAATTCTGTAAGTCATAATAATGAGAAACTTTCTCATAATAATGACTTAGTATCTCGTAATAATGAGAAACTTTCTCATAATAATGACTTAGTATCTCGTAATAATGAGAAACTTTCTCATAATAATGACTTAGTATCTCGTAATAATGAGAAACTTTCTCATAATAATGACTTAGTATCTCGTAATAATGAGAAACTTTCTCATAATAATGACTTAGTATCTCGTAATAATGAGAAACTTTCTCATAATAATGACTTAGTATCTCGTAATAATGAGAAACTTTCTCATAATAATGACTTAGTATCTCGTAATAATGAGAAACTTTCTCATAATAATGACTTAGTATCTCGTAATAATGAGAAACTTTCTCATAATAATGACTTAGTATCTCGTAATAATGAGAAACTTTCTCATAATAATGACTTAGTATCTCGTAATAATGAGAAACTTTCTCATAATAATGACTTAGTATCTCGTAATAATGAGAAACTTTCTCATAATAATGACTTAGTATCTCGTAATAATGAGAAACTTTCTCATAATAATGACTTAGTATCTCGTAATAATGAGAAACTTTCTCATAATAATGACTTAGTATCTCGTAATAATGAGAAACTTTCTCATAATAATGACTTAGTATCTCGTAATAATGAGAAACTTTCTCATAATAATGACTTAGTATCTCGTAATAATGAGAAACTTTCTCATAATAATGACTTAGTATCTCGTAATAATGAGAAACTTTCTCATAATAATGACTTAGTATCTCGTAATAATGAGAAACTTTCTCATAATAATGACTTAGTATCTCGTAATAATGAGAAACTTTCTCATAATAATGACTTAGTATCTCGTAATAATGAGAAACTTTCTCATAATAATGACTTAGTATCTCGTAATAATGAGAAACTTTCTCATAATAATGACTTAGTATCTCGTAATAATGAGAAACTTTCTCATAATAATGACTTAGTATCTCGTAATAATGAGAAACTTTCTCATAATAATGACTTAGTATCTCGTAATAATGAGAAACTTTCTCATAATAATGACTTAGTATCTCGTAATAATGAGAAACTTTCTCATAATAATGACTTAGTATCTCGTAATAATGAGAAACTTTCTCATAATAATGACTTAGTATCTCGTAATAATGAGAAACTTTCTCATAATAATGACTTAGTATCTCGTAATAATGAGAAACTTTCTCATAATAATGACTTAGTATCTCGTAATAATGAGAAACTTTCTCATAATAATGACTTAGTATCTCGTAATAATGAGAAACTTTCTCATAATAATGACTTAGTATCTCGTAATAATGAGAAACTTTCTCATAATAATGACTTAGTATCTCGTAATAATGAGAAACTTTCTCATAATAATGACTTAGTATCTCGTAATAATGAGAAACTTTCTCATAATAATGACTTAGTATCTCGTAATAATGAGAAACTTTCTCATAATAATGACTTAGTATCTCGTAATAATGAGAAACTTTCTCATAATAATGACTTAGTATCTCGTAATAATGAGAAACTTTCTCATAATAATGACTTAGTATCTCGTAATAATGAGAAACTTTCTCATAATAATGACTTAGTATCTCGTAATAATGAGAAACTTTCTCATAATAATGACTTAGTTTCTCGAAATAATGACTTAGTTTCTCATTATTATGACTTACAGAATTATATTTTTTTATTTAGTGGCGGAAACGGGCTTCCATATTTATTTGTGTGCACTCACAATAACAACAAAACGCGTTTTTGTAAAATAATGGAAGCAAACAGGATGCGCTTTCTGCTGTCTCGGTCTCAATGAACTTGAGCGTTAAACTGTGTATATCTTTGCCTTACAGACATTAAAAATATATCTATAGAGAGTGAAATGTCTACTTTCAAATGAACCAATTCAAATGGAAATCAAATATTCTCAGATTATGTCATCCGTATGAAACATGCATACAGGCTGTGGAGATGACGAATTAGTGTCGGCGACTTCATCTCTTAAACCGAAAACAAAGAAAGCACTAGTTTATCAGTGAATTATTAAAATGTTAATGCAGTCTCCTTACTGTTTTTCCCTGACACATTCATAATCATTACTTCTGCCGGTGCGCTGTGGCAAGTTTTAAGCGTGTGCTTGAGTGCTTATAAGGCTATGTAGGCAATTAAAGGCTCATTATAATGATTTAAATTGTTTATTAATAAACGTGCGATTAGTTGCCCAATGCTTAAAATGAACGACTACTAGTTGACCAGAAAAATCCTTATTCATTATTTATTAATAATTATTCTTTTAATTATTTGATAGCCATAAATAACAAGATTGTTGGCCAAATTGTGCAGCAATACAAAAACCCACAGCAAACCTGGAGCTTTTTTTTTTTTACGGTAATTGCATTTGATATCACAATCATTTTTTAAAACTTTAATGGACCAGAAAAAGTGTGGATAATTGATTAAAAAAAATAAAAAAGAAAGAAGATTATAATGGAAACCTAATGGGAAAAAAGTCTAATTTTGACATCTAAAAAAAGCTTAATTAAAATAAGGTAACCATACTTTACTCACCCATGTGATTAAGATATAACTCCTTGGGATCTGAAGAGTCTTTAGGGGCTCTAGGATTCCTGGTGCATTTTACCTTCAGCTGAAGTTGAATTGTGTCAATTTCGGTGCCTTCCTGATCCTCTGACAAACACAACCCACATTTACATTAGAATGTGAAAAAGACTAATAAACAGTCTTTAACAGCTTCAGTCAGTGCTGGCATTTGTGGGACCATTACATAAACTACTTTCCTCAAGAGAAATACATTTGTCTGTCGTTTTAAAGTAAAACAAGAATTTTGTGAGTCCTGAATGTAATGTTACTTACCTGGATTCCTGTACTCAAAAAGACGAGGATCTGCTTTTATGGGCACAAGACCAAGTCTATGAGCTAGAATCTCATCCTGAATGATCGATGTGTTATTGTAAATGAAGGCTTTTTCGATGGCCATTGTTGGGACCTTCATTTTCAAATGAGATGAGGACGAAAAACACAAGATGACTATCAGATCCCGTTTCAAAAGCAGCTCATGATGATGGTAATATAACATGTACACAAGCAGACACCACGGACAAAACATCGTCAAACATACCTCAGCCAGTAATATACGGCGAAATGCATTGGCGATGGCAGCGTCTATTCCAATCATATCAAACTCCAACATGTTCTCATCCGAATGAACTATATCGATCCTGAAATTCTACAAGAATAAAGTGACACAATTTTTGGTCAATCACGTAAAAAAGCCAGACTTAGCAGCGACTACATTCACTTTAATAAAATACAGCTTGTGCATTTCACACACCTTTTTGAATTTTTCCAAATCCCATGTGTCATCGTAACCAGGGTAATTTCCTGGATAATCTGTAGTATGGACCTGTAAATATAGTACGTAATACTTACATATGTACGGGAATACATTTGAATAAACAATAATGATGTTATCATATAAAGCTAATAAACAACAATCACTGCAGTTCGTGTACGAAGAAACCTGCACGACATGTGCAACGTTATATTATTAAATAATTGACACTTATATTGTCAATGAAACAGTCTGTATAGACATAAACATACACTGAACACTATATAAATATCCCACAAAGGTCATAACTTACATTTTTTACGCCAAATTCACCCAATATTACTCTATCACGAATTTCATCCACGTTGCTCATAGGCGCCGCCATCTTTGCTGTCTGTCATGCCTCTCTTGCGCCGGTAGAGGCTAGAACTCCCATTCAAAAACTCCACTCGAAAAGAAATTTCACCATTGTTGTAAATACACATACTAAATATAAGAAAGACAAAAACTCAACATTAACCTAGATTTTTTTTTTAAATAGCCAGTTTTTATTGATAAAACTCTTATAAGGTATGCGAATGTGTCGACTTTGTGGTGTGTATTTTCACCAGAGCCATTAAAACAATGTTTTTGTTTTTTTCCCAACGTGTTCTATCTTAACTACGAGGAAAAATAGGATATTTATTACTTTTCAAAATATTCCGTGTTGATGCAGTTCAAGAAAACAAATGGCATGTTCAGTTAAAGCTTGTCAAATTATTATTATTATGATTTTTTCTTTTTCTTTTTTTTTACTTAATTGTCCATTTCAAAACATAGCATATGTAATGTCAGATGCCCCAGAACATCTAATTCTGTGGCCTGGATGAGTCAAGTAGATGAGCGAACTACCAATATACATATATTTTGTAATACTTTTTGCAGTAATCATTTGTATCTTTATTTATACATTTTTATGTTATTTTTTTTAACCATTTATTTATTCGTTCGTGTGAGGACTTTTATTCTAGCCTCATTAAACTGCGTCACTGGAGTATTGCGCGCTCACCGTGAAGGTGCACAAGTAGATTGAAGTGTTTCGAAACTTGTGTCTGAAATGTACTATTCGCGATTGATCTTGAATGAAGTCATCCAACCACTACAGAGAGAGCAGACAGGCATCCGTAGTTGTTCTCCTGCAGTTGTTTTGAGGGCTTCGCTCTCTGAGTGCGCTATGGACGGAACCGTGGACAGAGTTGTGGAGGAGGGATCCACGCGTGGGTGCTCTCGGACAGACGCTTCCCTCAGCGGAGAGGATGAGCGCCGTGACTCCGACCACAGCCAGAGAACTCACGAAACACATCCTGACGACGAGGTACAACACGAAATCAACTAATTAATCCAGGTTTTATTTCTAAACTACTTGAACTTGTAGGCTATAAGTTGTTATATCGCATATAATAATTAATCGACTAATAAATGTGTTTGTGTATGTTTTATATGTAAATAAAATATACGTATATAAATACTACTTGTACTTATATACTTAAACGTACTCATTTTTTTAAGTTGTGTATGAGCGTTTAAATGAGGTATATGAGTTAATGTGAATAATTATATGAATATGTATGAGAGTATTGTATACACTTATGTTTAAAAACAGATCTTTACACACACACACACACACACACACATATATATATATATATATATATATATTTTTTTTTTTTTTTTACTTTAATGTTTAATTACTGTTTGTTTTCTTTAAAGCGCTCCTTGCCTCTTAGGGAATTTTATCCCTATATTCGCTGTGCCCTCTGCAATGGATTTTTCATTGATGCCACCACCATCATAGAGTGTCTTCACACTTGTAAGTGCACATTTCCCACCAATGTAGTGGTATAAATTGATTTTGTTCTTTCATATTTTCATGTAATCTGTGATTTGTACAGTGTTTGGCGTCATGCCTGTTTATTTCCCCCTTCACAGATTGTAAGAGCTGCATTGTCAAGCACTTTTTCTACAGCAACAGGTGTCCTAACTGCTCCATTGTTGTGCACCAGACACAGCCACTGTACAGTATCAGGTAACTTGAGTATTGTTGATGTCTTTTTTATTAATATATTGTTCTTGTCAATTTCAACTTTGCGTATAGAGCGTTGTTTTGGTCTGTCACTAGAGATTTAGTTTAGCTGTTATGTTCGAAACCATCTCTTGTGTCTAATTACTGCTGCCTAGCAATAACAGCCTCACATATGTCCCAGGGTCTTTAGGGTTTCTTATATGCTTTAGTGTTTAATTACTGATCATGTTTTAACATGAGTCAAATTTCTTCCCTTTTTCTCTTTTAGACCTGACAGGCAATTACAAGACATTGTTTTCAAGATGGTTCCATATTTGGAAGAAGGTTAGTGTAGTTTGTTGAACTCTTTCTTGTTGCACTTTTGTTGTCCCATTCTGATTTTTTAAATATATGTGAGAAGCATTTCACAGAAAATATGTTGTTGTTTTTTCTTCTTCAGATGAAAAGTCGCGAATATATGCATTTTATAAACAGAGAGGGCTTGACGTTCCTAAGCCAGGTTTGTTCATGCAATCACTCTCCTGAAGTTTATTCTTTGAATATAAGTGCACTTTAGTACATAGGTGAGGCTTAGTAATATTATTTTAATGTACTTATGATGCAATCTTTTCTCTCTCTTTTTCCCCCAGTGGCATCTCCAGCTACGTACCCATGGAAGCTACCTCAGAGACAGAAGAAAGACATGCTGCCTCAGTCTGTTTTTACTATTCCCTCAGAGCTAGATGTGTCTCTGATGTTGGAGTTTGTGGGGTTAGTAATGTTGATTTGTTATACTTATTTCAGTGATGTCATTCAGTTTCTAGAGCTTTCAGCTGACTTTATGTAAATGTAATGACTTTTTATTTAAAAAAAAGAAGCAAAGACAGGTTTATTTTTTTCAATAACACGCACCACTGAATCGTTCAAATTGACCTGGAACATGCATTAGGAGGTAAATAGGGTAAATTTTGATTTCATGTTGAATTGAATCTTTCTGAACGCTAGATGAGTTATGTTGTGTATCATCACTAGATGGAGCTAAACAGTCAAAAATCAAAAGACTCCTTAAAGCCATGATTTTCAGCCTTTTTGATTGAAAGGCCTCTCATTGTCCACAGCAATATTCAAAGCCCCTTCTTATTGGCTAAGATATCTTAGCTGATATTTCTGCTGTAAGTCTTATTGTTTTAATTTTTTTATCAATAGAACTGATTGTTTATTCATTGCATTACTTAACGGTTATTCATTTTTTTGTTTTTCAGAATATTCTGTATGGTCTTCAGTAAAAACAATAGTTATTTTTTGTATCTTGATGTTCCCCCTTGAATCAAAGCCCCTTCTTATTGGCTAAGATATCTTAGCTGATATTTCTGCTGTAATCTTATTGTTTTAATTTTTTTATCAATAGAACTGATTGTTTATTCATTGCATTACTTAACGGTTATTAATTTTTTTGTTTTTCAGAATATTCTGTATGGTCTTCAGTAAAAACAATAGTTATTTTTTGTATCTTGATGTTCCCCCTTGATCCCCCTGATTGAGAATCATTTGCCATGTGCTTTTTTTTGGGTTGAAATCTGATATTGCACAATTATAAATGCCTGCCTATTATTTATAAATTATTTGATTTGTTGTTGCAGAAACACAAAATAGGTCATCTGTTAATGGTTTCGTCTAATCTTTATTTTTACGTATCTTTGATTTACAGAGCTGAAAAGGGTATTGAGAACTATAAGGTAATGTTCATATTTTGTCAGTATTGCAATATTGATATTTGTATTTTGTTCACAAAACAATGTATGTGCTTTATATTCAGGAAACACATTGCAATATTATTTGTACTTAATATATACACTTGAATCATTGTGTAGAATTGAGCTGAAATTGTACTGTAGGCCTGGCTGTTTTTTCATTTTTAATATCCTGATGATATTTTCACCCTCAAGCCCCTTGAGAGGAAGTATGTGCGTGTGTCAGGGGAAGCCACTGTCCGTCATGTGGAGCTTTTTATCAGGAGGAAGATGGAACTGAGTCAAAACTGCAAGGTGAAATATACATTTTCTCCCCTTTATCTTTCTCACCCACAGTTTTTGAGTATTGTGAATCATAAACCACATTATGTATACAGGTAAGGCCTTGGTCTTAAACGGCTTGCTTTCATTAAACCAGACGCATAAATCCTGCCTCAGACGGTCAGCAGTGTCAGAGGTCTGAAAGCTATGTGGGGTGAGCACCCCCCAGCTGTGTCAGTCGCTCAATAATTCATACTGACAGGAATCAGGCATCACCCTTCACACAGAGCAAAGATATGCTGAGTCATTTGATGCAAAATTGTTATTTTTTTCACTCCTTAGTGGACTAAATTCAGCAAAATCACTCTTTGTCTTTAGGGTTTCCACAATGAGGTCATCATGTAAAAGTGTGATTAAAGAAATTGTTATTTGGATGTTCCCTTTCCCTCTGAACACTTCAGTGACTCTGTCACACTTCACAGTCCTGCCACGTTGCTGTTTAATTAGTTCCCCCCTAATCCCAGTTCTGGATAAGGATTTGAGTCCTTGAAAATAACCACAGCTCAGTCGAGCATAGAAATGACTGTCTGTGGTTGTGAATAACAGTGATTATGTTTGAAAAGAAAATCTAGTGCCGTTTTATATATATATATATATATATATATATTTCTGCAGACTGACACAGGCGTCTCCAATTCGAGAGCCATATTTTTAGCTGGTAACACTTTATTCTTTATTTTAGTGTCCTTGTTGCATACTATATGTTGCATGTACCTACTATAGTAATAAGAGTTAAGTATGCATAATTACACGTGTCTAACCCTAATCCTAACTCTATAGTAAGCATATGTTGGTAATTAATATTATCCAGTACTTAACTGTATAATTACATTGTAACAAGGACACCTTCAAATAAAGTGTAACATTAAACTTTAAGCCACATACAACAGCTTCACAGAAATATACTTATTTATTTACATTATTTTCATTGTTGAGTGTTCATAGTATGTATGCGTGTGATTTGGGGCATTTTAAAGATATATTCTGGGTTCAATTCAGGTTAAGCATAATGTTATTTACCACAAATATGAATTTCCATTTGTCCCTCCTTACTTGATTACTGTGAGGCAAAAATTTTAATTTTACAATTTTGTTGCCATGACAGCTCAAAGTTTTATTCAGAATTAATATACTATTATAAAATATACTATAAAGCAATAGTAAATATACTATAAAGCAACTTTTTTTTTTGCTTTTTCGTTTGTGAAATGATTAAATCAAATGATTAATCACATCCAAAATGAAAGTTTTTTTTTTTTACATAATGTGTGTGTACTGTGTATATTTATTATGTATATATAAAAGCACACACATACATTATATATTTTGAAAATATTTAGATGTATTTACATGTATATATTTATATTCGTATAATTTATATTATATATAAATATGTATATATAAACAACATATTTTTCTTAAATATATATAAATACATGTGTTTGTATTTATATATGCATAATAAATATACACAGTACACACACATTATGTGAACAAAGTTTTATTTTGGATGCGATTAATCGTTTGACAGTACTAGTAATTAACATTAATTGCAGTATTCTGATCTATGGTCACATGCAGCAGTTCTTAGTAAAGGCTGCTTGCATGTTGTAAGGCTAACAGTCGTATCTGGATTACTGGCTTAAGGGTTTTTTCCTGGCGTCCAGGCACTCAGTGTTGATTAGCTAAGACTGATCTGGCCTGGTGAGGAACACCTCATAGTGCCAGGGACATCTACTGGGATAGAGGTGAAAGAGGAGACACCAGGGTTTGTGTGCTTCGCTCCAGGACGGCCCGTTGTGCCCTGCTCCACATACTAGACTCTAAAAATTGTCTAATCATTTTGGGAATACACTGAGGCTGTATTTTATGTTCATATGGAGGCTTGAAATGCATTTCCACCTGGCATTTTAGGGTCACTGAGAAAAAGCACTCCTCTAAAAAGTTTGAACCCACTGGAATCCAACATCTTTTATAAGTAATGTTTGCTAAGGCAAGAATCCCTATTTCCATTGCTCATATTACTTATGTTTTTGTGATGGTTTTTTCTCAGTATGCAACTTTGGCATTGTGCTATGATCAGGAATGATACTTCAAAACATGCAGTGTTTTGAGGGGAGGTGTGCTATTACTTTTCTAAAGTGATTAGGCTAAAAGCATTGGCATAGATGATATGACAGATAGAAATAAACAGACTTGCATCACTTACATGAACATTTACATTCTGCTTTATTTGGCAGGTTGATGTTGTGTGTGGAGAGCATCTGCTTGAGCAATGCCAGTCTTTGAGAGAAGTTTGTAAAACCATGGGAAAAAATGCATTGCAGGTGGGTGTCTGGTATAATGTATCTTTCATATTTTTGCTTTTTATGTTATTTTTTTTTATTTTTTGTTGTTGCAAAAAGTAAAACAGCTGGAGGCACAAAGAAATGTTTAAAGGGATAGTCCATCCAAAAAATTTAAATTCTGTCATCATTTACTCATTGTCATGTATTTCCAAACCTGTATGAGTTTATTTCTTCTGTTGAACACAAAAGAAGAGATTTTAAAGGGGTCATATGATGCTTTTTTTAAAGATCATTATTTTGTGTATTTGGTGTAACAGAATATGTTGACATGCTTTAATGGTCAAAAAGCACATTATTTTTCAAATACTGTACATTATTGTAGGTCCTCTATGCCCCGCCTCTCTCAAACGCTTCATTTTCTACAAAGTCCCTCCTTCCGACAAGCGCAGTCTGCTCTGATTGGCCAGCTGACCCAGTGCATTGTGATTGGCCGAACACCGCAAGCACTCGTCGGAAATGTAACGCCCCTTACCATAATCGCGAGCTTCATCTTTCAAAATAAATGTAAAGACAGAGCCCGAAAAGGGAATAGAGTCACATGACAGACACAGTGATGGAGCTGGTATGTGTTTGCAGTACACAAGCCACGGTTAAGACAGCTGACTCCACTATGATGTGACCCCCTCTCTCTCTCTCTCTCTCTCTCTCTCTCTCTCTCTCTCACACAAACACACACACGATGCACAAAACTCCACATTTGAACAGTCAATAGCAAATACTAAAACTAATAACAAAACAGTAGCTGATTCAGAAGAGCCAGATTGTCATAGCAAAGTCAGAATGACCTCCTCTCCTAGGTTCACGAAACGGTCATCCATAAAATGCATTGCTGTTCTGTTGTAAGTAATCTTAAACATTCCTAAATGCATCTACTTTCGGAAGGCCAAATAAAGTGCTTTTGCTTTCGCACTGAAACACACAGCGTCTCCCTGACATGCTGCTTCAACACTAACTGCGGTTACTGAAACCACGCCTTCTTTCTTTGCGTGAACATTTGGGCGGCATTATGCAAATATTTCCACATAGTGACGTAGATATGTGGGGGCGTGTTAGAACGAGCCGTTTTAAGGGGGCGTGGCAGAGTCTTAACTTTGATAAAGAATATCTCTTTGGTTTTGAGACTTTAGTCTTTGCAACTTCAGGGATCTTATCTATACACAATCAGC